GCCATACAAAGTATCATATGACCAGCCTTAATATAACTTTTATAAAGAGAAATGACTAATCATGCCATGCAAAGTATCATATATTATAGCTTGAAAAAAATGGATTAATAAAGAAGCCTTTTGAATGGGAAAAAAGTTAAACAACTGAGAACAAACTATACACATATCTACAAGAAAATAGAAAAAAAGAACAGCCACAAACTAACAAACAAAACCAAAAGAGAGGAAGATAACCAGCATCAAAATAAGTAGTCTTCGAATGGCGGGGCGCAGTGCGAGAGAGCAGTCTCCCACGAGGGAGATGGAACAGGGAAGGAGCTGTCTTGGCAAGGGTGGGAGAAGGAGTAGGGTTGAGTTGTGGCGGAGTGGAAGGAGTGGCAGGAGGGGGAGGGGAGGGGGGAGGGGGGAGGATTGCGGGTCCATCTCGACCGTTAATGCCACTCTGACCCCCCGCCCACAACTCGCCGCAAAGTCACCTCTCGACTTCAACGTGTGCTGGCGACCCTTGATTCACAAGGCTGCGAAGGGCAGGTAGTTTTACTTTGATGAGAAGGAGACAGAGGCGAATAAAAGAACGAAAGAGAAAGCAAACGTCAGAAACTGATTTGCGTATGTAAATGTAGGTGTATGTAACCCTTACATATCATACAGTATATGTATATGTATATATTACATTTACATATCTACATCTATCTATATTTATCAATGCCTATATTGTGTGTGTGTGTGTGTGTGTGTGTGTGTGTGTGTGTGTGTGTGTGTGTGTGTGTGTGTGTGTGTGTGTGTGAGAGTGAGTGTGTGAGAGTGAGTGTGTGAGAGTGAATGTGTGTGTGTGTGTGTGTGAGAGTGAGTGTGTGTGTGTGTGTGTGTGTGTGTGTGTGTGTGTGTGTGTGTGTGTGTGTGTGTGTGTGTGAGAGAGAGAGAGAGAGAGAGAGAGAGAGAGAGAGAGAGAGAGAGAGAGAGAGAGAGAGAGAGAGAGAGAGGGAGGGAGAGAGGGAGGGAGAGAGGGAGAGAGAGAGAGAGGGAGGGAGGGAGGGAGGGAGGGAGGGAGGGAGGGAGAGAGAGAGAGAGAGAGAGAGAGAGAGAGAGAGAGAGAGAGAGAGAGAGAGAGAGAGAGAGAGAGAGAGAGAGAGAGAGAGAGGGAGAGAAAGAGAGGGAGAGAAAGAGAGAGAGAGAAAGAGAGAGAGAGAAAGAGAGAGAGAGAAAGAGAGAGAGAGAGAGAGAGAGAGAGAGAGAGAGAGAGAGAGAGAGAGAGAGAGAGAGAGAGAGAGAGAGAGAGAGAGAGAGAGAGAGAGAGAGACTCCCATTCTCCCCCACATAAGTACAATCTCACACTCACACAAGGATTAGCATTATGGTATTAGCACAGCTGCAACTACACATGATAATAAGCGACCGTTTGTTTATATTACATGTTCAACGACGAGTCCCATGAGCCCTGAAGACCAACGTGTTCATCATCAGAGCAATGGCCACTGCACACCTCTCGCCTCAGTAATTCGGTCTCTTTCCGCGTCAAGGACAATTACACAGATGTTAAAAGGATTCTGTACACCCATGTGGCCGTTGCTACCGTGAATAAAACAGAGCGGGAGAGTTTGAAGGTGTCGACGAGGGACGTAGGCATGGGTGGATGGGAAGGATGGTGGAAACATGGCTGGTGGAAGTTAGGGTTGGGTAGGGCGGTGGATGGGTGGAGCGGAGGACTGGCTGGATGGCGGGTCTGGGTGGATGGACGAATGGTGGAAACATGGCTGGTGGAAGTTAGGGTTGGGTAGGGCGTAGGGCTGGGTGGATGAGAAAGATGGTGGAAGTTAGGGGTTGGGTGGAACGACGGGTGGTGGAAGTTAGGGCTGGATGGAAGGATGGAGTAGGTGGAAGGACTGAGTGGAAAGTAGGACAAGGAGGATCTAAGGATGGTGGAAGTTAGGGCTGGGTGGAAGGAAGTGTTGTGACGAATAATGACAAGTCGACGCAAGAACGGCAAGGAGAATCTCTAAGCGGTTAGCCATGACCCTTCCACCCTACCTCCTCCCCTTCCTCATGCCTCCCTCGCACGCACGCCCTCACATAAACATTAACACAGAAACGAATACAAATAACAAAAAAATAACACCCACGCTACACGTATTCAAATCGTATTTCTTTCTTCTATGGTCATCGCCACTATATATTACTATATTATTATCACCATTATTATTACTGATCATCCATCATCATTATTATTATTTTTGCTGTTGTTTGTTGTGGTTGCTGCCATAAGCAATATAATTAGCAATTTATTTATCATTACTATCATTGCGGCCATTTCCACCATCATTACCCCAACTGATATTACCAAAATGATTACAATTGCTGTTATTAATATCATCACCTCCATCAACATATCTAAAATTTACCGTTAACATCAACTTCCTTTATTTCCTCTTGTTTTATGCAGATCTCATCACCTTTCATGTTAAACAATACTTCTGAAAACGTATTCCTAAGTAAGTGTAGTTTCTGTGCTTCCTTTAGCACACTGCTCGAGGCTGAGAGGTGTTTTTGTAGCCCGTAATCCGAATCCAGAGACAGGGAGAAAGGGGGGAGGGGGAGTCACGTTGCTTCTGGGTCCTGGCTGGTGTCACTGAGTGTCAAGTGTGTCATTATGTCTTGCGAAGAGCTTGAGAGTGAAGAGTTTACTATAAGCCAGTGTAACAAATAAAAAGATTTTTCATTTGTTTGTTTTCTTGACAGCAATATAATTCGAAGGTGTTCCTTCCACAAGCCTACACCGGAAATGCAGATACATTTCCCATATGCGGATGGCTGACCCAGCCTAAAGGTGAAAGTCACCGATTTGCGTGACCTCAGAGTGTGGCGGAAGGCGGGTCAGGCCAGGTCAAGTGAGGTCAAGGGAGTTGAATGACATATTTATACGAGTCACACGCAGGAGCATGTTTGCTTGTTCGTATCGGCTATCTAAACATCTTCGTTTCGCTTGAACTCTGATGATCGTGTTCAACTATCGATTTTAATATTGGGTTATCTATTTAAGATGACTGCGACAGTGTGTGTATGTGTGTTTGTGTGAGGGGGGAGGGGGGTGCGTGTGCGAGTGTGACAGTGAGAGTGTGTTGTACTGCAGACATAAATATTTATTGATCTCAAATTGTAGTCAAATAAAGCCAACTATCATGACCACAAACACACTATTACAGGGGGAGATGCATCGGTTTAGTCCGTTTAATAATCCAGAAAAACAAGTGTAGCGAAAACACGCTACACGAAACCAGCTGAGCACTAAAAGATGACCACCGTGATTACCCTGTCAATCACCATTACTCCACTTAAGACTGGATCAATAAACTGGACCACGGCTACAGTAACACGCCTTCAGACATGCCCTTTTTGGCATCGACACAATACAAACACCGCTCCCACATCCTCATCAAAGCCGGCCAGGGGGAAAGAATCCTAGCCCCGCCCAGCATCCCTTCCTTTCACATATCAGGAACGAAGGAAGTCCAGTCTTTGTGAAGTGATAAGCCCGCGCTTTCCAACGCCTTCGCCAGGGGGTTGTCAGTGTGGCGTGGGTGTGGCGCGGCGCCCTTTGCCCAGGCGCCGCCGCAGGGGAGGCGGCGTCCTCACGTAAGGGATACACACTATCCCTAGCTTAAATACTTAACCCACCTTAATCTAATGAAAAGTGACCGCCTGATTGACATTTCAGCACCAGACCTACTTCTGGTTCGTTGTACTGGACAAAGCGTTGCCACGCATGTATGTTGGGTAAAACTTACATGTAACAGGGACCTTTCGTAAGAAAGATTCCATTCATAAAAATAAGAACAAAAAGTACGAAAACCTATCTATACCGATACATTTACATTTTTTCCTCATTCAAGATACAATCGAACTATAACTCCAATCAACCATTTCACTCGAGTGATTACAACCCACCGCCACTTTCCCTAGGCTAGAGTAGAGGCACACCGCACAGTGTGGAATGTGACTGCTACCCCGTCTACTGTGGACTTGTCGCTCCCATCAACATAAAATTCGCCTCAACTGTCCTATCTTTGCAAGTGAAATGGCGAGTGATGGGGACTAATTTACACACATAGTGCTAACTCGGAAAAAAAAACCGACCAGGGGGATTGTAAAGGAAATTATTTACAAGAAACACCATATCAATAAAAATGCTACATCACAAAAAATTACAATTCGTATATCACAGATGTTAGCCTGCTGTCACACTACAGGCTATATAGGCCTGTCGTGTCTTCCACCCCTTATACGGTACATTCGACGCGGAAACCTGCGGCGAACAACCATTACGAAATGAGGATTCATGTATCAAGGGACTTCAAAACGGACACACAATGACTGCGACAAAATGAGGGAACATATTTGTCCTGTGGAAAAGAAAAACTGCTAGGGAACATGGAACAAATATCTGTAATATCCCCTGCATAACAACAAAATAATGGAAACATTAACGAGATTCAAAAGTGTAGGGATCATGCCCAACGACGGATGTACCTCAAGGGCATTCCCTGAATTCTGTCATCGGGAGCGACGGCTGCAATTAGCCAATTGTTCTATTCTATACACAGGGGTATTTGGTTTCAAAGCGGCTGCTACTGCATTTTGAAAGTGCTCGTGCATATAAACGGTCTAAAGGCAGGGCGCGAATAACAGAACCCGTTTTATAATGAAGTTTGTTGTCTCGCCGCTGATCAACTTCAGTGAAGTAACTTCCCGGCCGGCGACTTGAGCGCCAGACACTCCATACCTGGGTCGCTGGGACTCGAATGTCAAGCTATACTTCGCCTTTCACGCTCGAGCATCTCAGCTGCAATCTCGCTGCTTCTACCTGGTGTCTTGCGGCGCGCGGGGTGCCGGAGACTTCAACAACGCGGTATTTTGCGAGTTTCCTCCGAGCTGCTGGCACGGAGTCAAACCACCTTGCGATCGCGCTGGAAGACAAGCGGCGTCGGCGGCCTCACTCGACTTACCTTTTTGGGATCTTTGGGAGACTCCTGTCGTCCTTGGTCATCAGCAGCTGAAGGAACCTTCGGGTGAGTTCCGTTGACGATGGTTGTGGCGATGGGTTCGGGCGCTTGCTGTGGCTGCTGCGGCGGGGCTTCGGTGCTAACGTTGCCGCCGCCGCCAGTGTCCTCTTGGCCGTTCTGGTGAGAAGTATCGTGTTCTACTGGCATTTTGGTGGCGAGGGTTATTTCACTTACACTTAACGACCGACTACGACGCAAAAGTCAGTGTCTTCGCAAAAATCTGTGGACTTATCATTAAATACGAAGAAGGCTCGCGCGCGGCCACCCGCTCTCACTTGCGTAAACAATCTCACTGCCGTCCCTCGGCGGCGGGGCTGCCGCGTCCAGGAACGTTGCCGCGCGGGATAAATCCGCCTCTATTTTATCGTCCCCTACAAACGTACTGTACGTCTTAAACATTTATCTTGCTATCTAATGCCACATTACGAGATGAGTTATTAAGGTACCGAGTGATGTCACGTAACAGAATAGAGTAAATCTCTGAAAGTTTATCAGGATTCTTGTGGCGTGTATTGACTTGCTCGGTCTCGCAAAGAACGAGAGGTGACGAGACTCTGCGAGAGGGCGGGGCATTCAAATCACCACAAGGCGAGACGCGGCGCAAGAGACGCTGCGGCACCACACTGCAAAACCAACTCTCCTGCCACACGCTCAGCGCACCCAAATCAGTATTCATGTTTTTTTCCTATTTCGGTCGTTATTTCCAATGTACAGTGATTGGGTTCTATTGGTCATATCTCCTATAGTAGTTAAAAAAAAAAAAAAAAAAAAAAAAAAAAAAAAAAAAAATATATATATATATATATATATATATATATATATATATATATAATTCCTATATCAAGAATACAAACTGCCATATTAAGAAACCCATAATTTGATATACAAAATCAAGTGTTCTACCATATACACTTACCTAAATTCCAATAATTATGCGCATGAAATCTCTCGAAGACACACTATATGTAGTCTTGCGCCAATAGTTACTCATCTTTATTTAATAGCCAGACGGGTGGGTAGGCAAATAATTTGTTTTACAGAATTCCGTGAAAACTTTTCTTTTCTTTATGACGTCAACACAAGTTGTTATGAGCAGTTCATTATAATAATTGCATTTATGGAAATAGTCATAACATCAACAACGGCAAGAACAATGATAATGATAAATATAATAATGATAATAATAATTATAATGATAATAATAATTATAATGATAATAATGATAATAATGATTAATAATAATAATAATAATAACAATAGTAATAATAATAATAATAATAATAATAATAATAATAATAATAATAATAATAATATCAATAATAAATAATAATAATAATAATAATAATAACAATAATAATAATGATGATGATGATGATAATAAGAGGTATGATAATAATAAATAGGATAAGAATAATTATAATGACAATAATGATTATATGGTTAATAAGAATGGTAATAATAATAAAAAAAAATAATAAAAAAACATGACAATAGTATCAGCAATGGTAATGATAATGATAATAACAATAGATGAATAATGGTGATAATGAGATTACTACTACTACTACTGATAATAATAATGATAATAATGATAATGATAACAATAACAATGTTAATAATAATAATAATAATAATAATAATAATAACAATTGGCATTATTATCATTATTGCTCTTATCATTACTATTAGCATCATTATGATTATAATGATGATAATAATTATAATAGTTGTGGTAGTAGTAGCAAAAATGATAGTGATAATAATAGTAATGATTATGATAATAATGATGGCAATGATGTTGATGAAGATGATAATAGTAGTAATAATGATAATGATAATAATTATAATAGTAATAATAATGATAATGATGGTAATGATAACCGTAATAATAGATAGTCATAATAAATATAATGATGATAGTTATAATAGTAATGATAATAATAATATTAATAATAAAATAATAATAATAATAATAATAATGATGATGATGATGATAACAATAATAGCAATAAGTATCATAATAATGATAATAGCAATAATGATAATGAAAATAATAATGATAATAATAATAATGATAATAATAATATTGATAATGATAGTAGCAATATCAATCATAATAATAGAAATGAAAATAAGTATTTAATACAATGATAGTATAGCAATAATAATAGTGATAATGATAATAATAATGATAATAATAATAATAATGATAACAATAATATTAATAACAATAACAATAATTGCAATAATAATTAAGATGATAACGATAATGATAATGATGATTATGATAATTATAGTAATAATAATAATGATAATAATAATAATAATAATAATAATAATGATAATAATAATAACAAAAATAATATTGTTAATAGTAATGATAATAATAACGACAATAATTATAATAATGACAATAATAATAATAATGAAATCGATGATAATGATAATGATAACAATAATAACAAAAACAACAACAGCAATAATAATAATAGTATTCATAATAATGATAATTATAGTAATGATAATAACGATAATAATAATAATAAAAGTGATAGTAATAATGATAGTGATGATTATAACAATGATGATAATAACAATAACAATCATAATGATAATAATGATAACAGAAACAGCAACAACAACAACAACAACAGCAACAACAATAATGATGGTAATGATATGATAAAAATATAAAAAAAAACATTAAGGATAATAATAAAAAATGCTAATAACATTAATGATAATGATAAAAAATTATAATAACATTAATGATAATGACAATGATAAC